AGATGGTGGAACGTTTTCTAAACACATTATTATCATTTATTTATCATCGATTTCCCTGGGAAAATAAAGCCTATTCCTGGCATGAAGGCAAAAAGAACATAGCGGCAGCGTCGTGCTTACGCCATGTGACAATCTTGCGCCTACAACGACCACACCAAGCGCTTACTACAAGATCTTTCTACGCTCATGGCCAAGATCTCGCTGCGCGAAAGTGTTCCCACCATGATCTCGCGGTTACCAGTCAGATCGGGATACTTTCTCACCACACTCCAGTGATGTGCCTACCAGGCGTAAGGCGGTCTCTCACCACGCCTATAGAGACCGTGTCATGCTCGCCCGTTCTCATACACTTTCAAAGCAGAAAACAACCAATAACCAAGCAACCAAGAACATTTCATAGTTTTCTTGAGGTTTCCTCTTTGGGGGCTAGACTGGAGCTGACGGACGAGGATCAGTATCTTCCCTATATATACATACAGGTCGTAACAGCGTAGCAAGCATATGGCCAGGAGCTTCGTTCCAGTCTGGCAGCAACGTGGATGATAGTGGTGGGGACGTGGCTGTAAATGAAATACTTGCCAAGTAGCCCTCATAGCATAGATTATTTTATCAACTGACATCCAAGATGAATGTATAACGAATATGTGGAATGATATTGCGCTGGAGTTCAACTACTTCATTGTTGGATAATATACCTAATGTGTAAACTCGGCACAGGCTTCCAGGAACATGCTACAAGCTTATACATAGCAGAATTGGATTCAGAAACCTTTACAGTAGAAAACGTCCTGCCACAAACAAAAATATGCTGAATGTGTGAACATACCACCATTTCACGCAGTTGTAAATGGCAGAAATCGAATCTGCGCCCCCGAAAAACAAATATTGACACAAAAACGCGACTACGTAATCAAAATCAGCACATCGTCCCATTTTGACGCCCGACATGAAAGCTATATTGGAAATATGCTAAATATGTGAACATGTGATAATTTTACACTGTTGTAAACGGCAACAATGGAATCTGCTCTCCCCCAAAAAAATCCTGGTACCATAGACGACTACTTAATCAATATCCGCACATCGTTCCATCTTCCCGCCAAAAATGGCCGTCATAGTGTAAATGTGCAAAATAATCATCTTACACAGTTGTTACTGACCGAAATGGATTCTGTGCCCTTGAAAACATATATTGACACCAACGACGACTACTTAATCAATATCAGCACATCGTTATATTTTCCCGCCAAAAATGCCCGCCATCTTGGTAATATGCTAAGTATATGAACATGTGATCATTTTACAAGGTTTTAAATGTCAGGAATGGAATCTGTGGCCATGAAAACATATATATTGACACCAAGCACTACTACTTAATCGAAATCAGCACAGCGTCCGATTTTCCCGCCAAAAATGGTCGCCATCTTGGAAATATCATACTGATATGATGGAAAACAATCTGAAGTATAGTCATGAACCCTGCCAATATTAATACATTGCCAAATCACAGTTGATATGTCGATAACATTATAAATAAGGTGAAAATAATAAAATAAGTTGGAATATTATCGCAAAATGGCTACCCTCAAATAATGGCCTCCCATACTATGAAGACCTACTCCGAAAAAATGTCAACATTGTTTTTTTGTAATCAAACATCAAAACCTACAAAATAAAGCTTATTCCATGATTTCTACCCGAAAAGACTACGGATAGCAATTATGTAACAAACCGAATCCGACTATTAGTGGTTATCAAGCACGACGTTTCGACAAACATCCTCTCGTTATTAGGCACAATTTATTCACCAATGGCTAAATCACACCTAACGATTATATTAAATAAATAAACACGTTTTCAAGGAAAAATAATATTATCTCGGGTGTCAGGTATTCTTCTATTGTCTCGACAGAAAATAAACAACAAATGTATTAGATGAAGTGTGAAGTGCCGCCCCAAATGTACTGGATGAAGTGCCGCCCCAAATGTACTAGATGAAGTGCCGCCACCAAGAATGTGTTGCCCATGGTTAATAATAAGTGCAAGAGGGTCGCGCCACTCAAACAAAACCAACAAGACGAAACCCAGAACACAAAACACAAGACGCACAATATACACAAGCCACAAAAGACAAAACCGTGGACAAGGGACACAATATGCACAAAACTCACAAGCATTGCAAGCAATATAAAGGGTTTAAACATACATTATGACGTCACATTAATAATGACGTAATTGTATTAATCATTAAACATACATTATGTAAGAGCTAAATCTGCCTATTGCAGGTCTTTCTTTAGGCCTGTAATGTTATCTAAATTATTATTAATTAGAGATTATTTAACTTATCCAGACCATAATCAACTATCGATGTTATTGCTAGCCTGAGATATTTATTGGATTAGGATCCGATTTGCTGCTCAACTTTCATTCATGACTTAATCATGAAATGGATAATCGAGATGATGTTTTTTTTTTATCGTACCGACTTTAGTAATGATGAACGGGGCTAGGCCGAAAATTCAATTGCGAAATTCTCGGTTCAGAGTGGATCAATTGGGCTGAAATTTTCAGCAAATTTCCATTAATTAATCTAGTTTTTAACTATTATAGTGAGAACTGCCAGCTCTTTATCTAATCTTCCATAATGTATCTTTAAGTAGTACTAGCAATTGTCGTTATAATGCGATTTTCCTGAAGCAATGGCTTGGATAATCCCTCGCTCGCGGTTTAATCCAACGAAACACTGCAAGGAGTATGTTATAATACCCACTCACGTGGTGATTACGGGGGTAGCGCGAGGATTCCACTTCCTTTAGACCTACTTAAAAATTTATCTGGCATTGAGGATTTTAACATAGGCTTAGTCTGTTCCCCGATTCCATTCTGATATTTTGCATAAAAATATTGGTTTAAAAAAACGGATATTCCCTTTTCTTTTCATTTTAAGCTGTTAAATAAGAAAAATAATGATGAAAGGAATGACTATCTTAAAACCCAGTGCCCCTGCTATTGTATAGATATAAATTAAATCTAAGAATATTTTGAAATATTCACATTTTAACACAAAAATATTTAAATTTTACTGTATAGTAGTTTATTCATCCCTTGAATCTGTGAAATAAAAAAGAACATTTTGCCACCAAAGCTGATTTAGGTGGTTTTTGATGCAGCATGGGCGTACCCTTTGCTTATTCAAGCCAAAAACTTTGCGGTGATACAACTCGATAATGCAGTATAGAAATTCTATATTCATAACTTATTTTGGGCCACCAAAGCTAGTTTAGAAGTTATGTGCGCAGTGAGCCTATATACCCAAACTCGATTTTCTCATTTTTTTGTTATGTTTACGGTAATTAATATCACAAAAAAGAAACGTAGGAAGCTTCTGAAATTTTGCAGGCGAGTACTTTATTCATCCCTTGATTCTGTGCCCCCCCCCCCCCAAAAACAAAAACCCCAACAAAAACCACAAAACAAAACAAAACAATTTACCACCAAAGGCCAAGCAGCTGTTTGGATGCTTTTTGATGGACATACCCATTGCATAGAACGTTAATGAACTTTGACAACCCTAACACCTTTTTATAGGCCTAAAGCCGTATATTATAGCGCTGTGCCTATACATGCTGTGACGTCATTTTACTTCCAGATGGTTCGCCCCAAAGTCATGAATATTGACCAAAACCTGGCAGAAAATGGAAAATGAAATGAAATGGGGTTTAACGTCCTACTGTTCTGCTCCTATACTGGGCTAATGAAGACGGGCATACGCCATACAGTGTGCTATGAGGTAAATTTTGCCCGAGCAGCGGCACTATCGCCTACTCTTATATTGAATTCCAACTGCCAAGGGATCTTTTACGTGCATTCTAATGTATACACGGGACCTCGGTTTTCCGTCTCATCCGAAGGACTAGACAGCTGTCCTTGTCATGCCCTCTGTTCTGCACCACTGACAAGGGGAAACCACATCTGAAAATCCTGATGAACTTTCTCGGCCAATGCAGGGATCGAAAACGTGACCTCCAGCCTAGCGAGCCAGCGTCTTACCCACTTAGCCACATGGTATAGAACATACAATAGATTTGGCTCCAGGCCTTGCCCAAATCAAACTCTTAAATATTAAACAGCGTCACTTAGTGAACAAATATGCATTTATTTACAAAATTATTAATCAACAATGCCCTTCATATTTAACCAACATCCTCTGCTACTACGATACTCGATACTCTAATATCAATAACAAAATTGTCATTCTTCGGCCTAATCTATCTGTTGTTAAAAACAGTATTAGATTTACTGGTGCCCATTTATGGAATTCATTACCTGACTGTTTAAAATATTGTAAATCATATTATTCATTTCGAAGGCAATTATTTAAATTTGTAACTACGTAGAGACCTAGTATAGTCTTCTATATAGTAGTACTTATATACATTGGGAGCGCTCGGAAGAAATATATTATGGTCATTTCCATTAATTAATTTGTCTATTTACATGTACCATAAGCATAATATTAGATGATAATTATATGATTTGTGTGTGACAACTTTATTATATTGTGATTGTAATATAATTAATATTTTCAATTGTGATTTTGTTAATATTCTTTTGTAAATATAGCTCTTCTGTTTTCAAATTTCATTGTTCACTTCTTTAACTTCTGTTATAAAGGGCAAAATGTAAGACAGGCCTCCTGGCCTAATTTTCAACCCTTTGAAAATAAAGTTATTATTATTATTATTATTATTAAAATGGAGATCCAAACCCTCTTCTTATATTACAGACAAAACATTGCTACGCGAAGAGGTAAACGAAATAATTGCTATGAATCGAGAAGCTACAAACGTCGCCCAAATAAATAAGTAGCTCTTTTTCATAAGTATGTGTTATATAGTTTATTTCTCTACCCAGTTATTAAATGCCGGTAAAAGATCACAAATTCCTAGTAATTAGTAGTCTGATCCCAACACTCTAAACTAGAGTTATCCCCGGAAGCGTCAGCTGCACTGAAACTGTTGTGTTGATTGATAAGATCGCTTCAACTTTATTTCTGTCCTTTCAGTTTTACTGGGCTGTAACGAAGTGATTTATATAGTATTTTATCGGCTGTGTTTTGTACAACATGTCTTCCTGATTCAACCATGTTAACTGCATGTAAAAGGTGCATACCCTATAGGAAAATGAAATACGTTGCTATAATTTTATTATTCGCCGTAGTTGTAGCAGGTTTGTTCCTTACTTACTTCTTTTTTTTTATTAATTTATTTTGACATTCTTCAGCTACGGCGCAATAGACAGTAATTTCACACTAAACCATTCTCTTTTTAATTTTAACCTCACCCATTTACATATCCCCCATCTAGCTGTTGGTGTAGGTGACCCGCAGTGAAACCAGGGGGACCTATAGATATATATGTAAACCAAAAAAAAAACAGACAAAAATATAACCAGACTTTATTTACATGATGAATAAATGTCTAGATAATATGAAAATAAATTATAAACCTCATAAACATTTTAATTATTTACATTTTAAACATTACGCTACGATTACGAAACAGAGTTTTTATTTTTGAAAAGCTTGACGTAAAATTACGTCATGCGACAAGCAGTGTACTGTCACCTGATCTATCCAGTGGGAATCTTACATAATAATAGACTTTGGGTGGCAAATGACATGTTATTTTCGCGGAGTAATAGTCGACATCAACAAATATACCCTGGTACCGATAAGGAAAAGTTCTCTAGAATTGTGACTGGGATAAGAAAAGATCGTACTCCGCCCGCGAATATACTTGTACAAACACACGGGCAAAGTTTATTCACGATCATCCAGTATCTATTTTCTATTGCTGTCCTGTTCCGAAAGCCGAAGTTTTTCCCCCTGAAAAAATTCACAGATAGATTTTTTTTAACATGTGCTTTTTTGATGAAATAAAATAATTCATGGATTTTCTTTTAAAAAAGGCTAAATATTATCAAATACACAACAAAGGTAGGGCTAACACGTTCAAAGAATTCATATTGTGGAGATTTGCAGCGAGGAATTTTCTTTCCAATAGTTTCTGTGAACTGACAGATACCGATGCCGATATATAGATGCGACAATGGATCGATGCGTACGAATTTACTTGATATCAGCACTATCTATATCATTTTTGAAATGAGATGTGTGTCTTTAACCTGCATGACTGATTGATATTTTGAACCAATCGTGCCCACCCAAGTCCTACAGTTTAAACCTTACCACTGGGAATCGTGCCCTCCAAAGTTCCGTACAGGAATGATTTTTTATTAACTGACTGATAGGGAGCCCATTTGGGCCATTGGCTTTGTGAAAAAGAGAGACCACTGCCGCTTTAAAGGGCCAATGGGTGCCTGACCCCCATTTTTTTCGAAATACTGACTGGAAACATACTTCCTCTGTCGTATATTGTCGGTTCGGTATAACTGTTGCACAGAAACAGCATCACCCATCTTTCTATTAACTGTATCTATTTTTGTGTGTTGTACTGTTGGATTACCTATTTGAATAACATACTTGTACCTGTACCTATTTGAATAACATACTTGGACCTAACAATCAATGAATGCATTCATATGATTCACCCAACCACTGTCAACATTTTGACCTAAAAAACTATAAATTATGTGAAGTAAAGAAACACAATTTTACCATAGTAGTACTTTTCAATAATTTAGATCCTGTTTACCTTTTTGATCATTACAGCTTTATTCATGAATATTACGTACTGTACATCAGATAAACTACTTTTAAAGCCTAAAACTGTTCAATTAATCTCTTCTGGTCAGCGCTCTTTTAGTTTTCAATCACATGTTTTATTTTAAAATGTTGTACATCTCTATAATCTTTTTAAAAACAATGTTAAAAACATTTATTTAATCAGGCTTTTAACTGACTCTGTATATACAACTGTTAACAGGTCTAGTCGATTGAATGGGCCGAATAACCGAGGTCCTGTTTACACATTAACATGCACATAAAAAATCCCTGTTGACTCATTATTCTGTTACATGTAGACACCATTCAAACTCCCTAAATTGAACAGCCTGTTCTTCTTATCTTTCTTATCTGATTCAAATACAGATCTATATTTCGTATTGTTTTTTATACTTTTATGGCCTACACTACATGTAGATCTGACCAGTTATAGCGAGAGTTCACGTTACGGGTCAAACGAGCGGCTTTTGATCCTATGACGTCAGACCTTGATTAATCAATCAGCGTTGACGTTTCTAGTGGTTTACCCACAGTTCCATGCTTAAAAAGGCCAAGAACTCGACGTAACAGACCATTTCATTGGCTAATCCCTCACTTCATCCAGAACACGTCAATGATAACAACTCTTTCAGATCCTAGTGTAGTAAAGATAAGTAAAACAAAATTTTAAACTATGAGAAATGAAATGGCGTTTAACGTCCTACTGTTCTGCTCCGAACTGGGCGAATGAAGACGAGCATGCGCCATACAGTGTGCTATGAGGGAAATTTTGCCCGGGCAGTGGCACTATCGCCTACTATTATATTGAAGTCCAACTGCATTCCAATGTATACACGGGACCTCGTTTTTTTCATGTCATCCGAAGGACTCGACAGCTGTCTTTGTTGAATGAAATAGGATCTGTGTGTTTTACTGTGGCTTTCAGCAATATTTATACGTCCATGTTGAAATGTGGTCATATATTTTATCACTCCCTTATGTCTGTCACTTTACAAGCTAAAGTTATCATCCGATTGACTTAAGTTCATGAAATGAAGAAGTGATTTGATTTTCAACAGTTTCTGATTATTGCTTTCAGAATTATTGCCCTTGATCATTTTTAATAATGCTACATGTACATATAAAATTGCTTTAAATTTGTACTCAATGTTTAATAATGTTCATGAGATGAAGAATCCTATAGAATATGATTTTCCATGATTTTTGATAATTACTGTCACTGTTGTTGTATTGTCCTTTGAGTCGACTGACCTGGTTTTGATTCCCCGGTTGTTCGTGACAAGGAGTACGGTCGCCTGCCCAACCTCGTGGGTTTCCTCCAGGTTCTCCGGTTTCCCACCACTGCTAAAAACCCCTACGTGCAAGCGAATTATTAAAATAAAATTGATCCTAGTTTGTGTCGTGTGGACGTTAAACCCCATTTCTCTCTCTATATATGTATTGTCCTACTTCTGATTGTACTTGCTGGAAAACATTAAGAGAAAACTCTTCGAAACGTGACACAAATACATTAAACATACATTATGCAAGAGCAAAATCTGATTATTGCAAGTCTTAATTTAGGCTTCAGATGTTATAGAAATTATAAATTAGATCTTTATTTAAACAACAAGCCCAAAATCAACTCTGTCGACCCACGGATGGCTTGGCTACAGCTCGGATTTAAATAGGATTTCACTTATCAATTAATTCAAATATGGCGCATCCTGATGAGAATACGTCAGTTAGATCGAGGCTAAATGATAGAGTGTACTTAGCGAGGCCGCTGTAGAGCGTTTCCGCATGCCATTGAAAACTTTACTTGATAATCGAGATATGTAGGTGGAGTTAACGCCTGTCAATCAAACGATCAGCCACAGTGAAGGCACATTTCACTACCATTTCTAGTCAAATATTACAACGATGATAACTATGTTCAGAATAAAGTAATTTGACTGAAATTTTCAAAATATTCTTCTTTCATCATCTACTTTTGAACTGCTATAGCAAGAATGGCCAATTCTTTGTAAAAATCTCCCATAATGTATCTTTAAGTAATTGTTCTTCCATAAATATGATGACAGGGTTGGCTGGTTTATCGTGTGTGTTTAAGATCACAAAGTTTGTCATTGAGTCAAGAAGCGTTCATTCAATTACCCGCTTGTTGTGTTGTCTGTCCAACCTTGTTGGTTTTCTCCAGAACTTCTTGTTTCCTTCCAAAGCTAAAGACCCCTATATATGCTCAATCAAATTAATGAAATAAAATTGAACGACAAAATGTCCTAGTTTGTGTAGAGTGGACGTTAAACCCTCTTTCTCTCTCTCTCTTTCTTTCCATCCATAAGTATGTGTTATAGCTTATTCCTTGATTCTTTAAAAACTTTCTACACCTGCTACGATTATCATCTAATTGATATCCAATTGATCCGTTGTGTTAATATTCATGATAAGTCTATTGATTTCATTGATTGCTGATATCCAACATACTGTACATGTAGATGAAGTTAGTAATAACATATACATGTAGAAAAAGAAATATATTTATTGGATTCTGAAAATTTTGACTGTCTACCTTATTTACATGTGGTCATAACAACCATAAACAGTGAAGACCATAAACAGTAAACAATAATGACCATAAACAGTGATGACCATTCAACCATAAACCATAACGACCATAAACAGTGATGACAATAAACAGTGATGACAATAAACTATAACGACCATAAACAGTAACATGACCATACAACAATAAAACATAACACCTAGGCCATAACGATCATAAACAGTGGTGAATCTGACGACCATATGACAATAAACCATAATGGTCATAATTCGCTTTGGTCAAAACAGCTCAAATCTTTGATGGAAACAAACATAAATTGTTAATACCAATATATTGTAAAACAATATATTAAAATATAAATAGAATTTCTTCATGTACATGTTAATTTATTTTTTGAAGTAATTTGATGATGTTGAAATTTGATGATGGTGAAATAGTTGACTAATAATTCTTGTTTTTGTATTTTTTCAGTGGCTTATGGAAGTTTATCAAGTTTAAATGAAAAAGAAAGGTAAGATGTTATAATCATTTGGATGGGGTGAAAAAAACGAGGTCCTGTGTCCTACTGACCTTACATACCTGGCAAACCTGTTCAGTCCTGTTAATTAAAAACCCCACTGACTAGACTTATGAAAGTAAAATGTTGTAATGAATTAATGATTGAATGTTTGTTCGATCCTGGTTCCTGGAGTTTTACGTCCACTTCCACGAGGTTGGGCAGGCGACCGTACTCCTTGTCACGAACAACCGGGGAATCAAAACCAGGTCAGTCGACTCAAAGGACAATACAACAACAGTGACAGTAATTATCAAAAATCATGGAAAATCATATTCTATAGGATTCTTCATCTCATGAACATTATTAAACATTGAGTACAAATTTAAAGCAATTTTATATGTAGCATTATTAAAAATGATCAAGGGCAATAATTCTGAAAGCAATAATCAGAAACTGTTGAAAATCAAATTAGTGACAGTTTAAAATCTAAACCGCTTAAAAAAAGTTTTATAACTGCAAATATTTCAAATTTCAACTACATGATGAGTATTTTTTATCCTTCCGTTTGAATCGATGATGAAACAGAAACAAAACTACACGATGATTAAATCTGAAACCAGGGCCGGGGATATATAGATAGATAATAAACCAATCAAATTAAAGAATTACATTCTAAATTTAATTTTATTGGCTAAAATTTTATTATATGAATAGAATTAGTTAATAAATTCTTAACCATAAATATTGGATTAAAGAGATCACCTGTTGATTGGCACCTGATCTCACTATATCGTTAATTACCCTTGCTGGATATAATCTAAATATTGGATTAAAGAGATCAATTGATTGGCACCTGATCTCACTATATCGTTAATTACCCTTGCTGGATATAATCTAAATATTGGATTATAGAGATCACCTGTTGATTGGCACCTGATCTCACTATATCATTAATTACCCTTTTAATATATATGCTTAAAGATACATTAATTAAGAGTTTAATAAAGAGTTGGTCATTCTTGCTATAATAATTCAAAAATAGATGATAAAAAAAGAAAATATTGAAAATTTCATTCAAATTACTTCATTCTCAGCCAAGTTATCATTGTTTGTAGTTTTGACAAGATGTGTGCACAGTGGTAACCAGGGCACTGGTATATTCAGGATTTAAATTTTTAAATGGCGAACAGTTTTAATCTAGCTAATATCTCGAGTATCCGATGCCATCGAGAGTTGATTATGATCTGGATAAGTTAGTTAATGTCTAATTAATAGTTTATGTAACATTTCAGGCCTAAAGAAAGACCCGCAATAGGCAGATTTAGCTCTTGCATAGTGTATGTTTAAAGATACATTATGTAAGATTTAGATAAAGAGCTGGCCATTCTTGCTAAAATAGCTGGACAATAGATAATGTAAAATGAATAATTTGAAAATTTCATTCAAATTAATCTATTGTGAGCGAAGATATTAGCCTTTGAAGGTTTGATAAGATGTGTGCATTAATTGCAACCACCGTGTTGGTTGTTCGAAGATAAGTCTCGCTCCTCCAGTCTTAACTGTTCTGTTCTATTTAATATCGGAGATATCCGATGCCATCGAGAGTTGATTATGACCTGGTCATGTTAATATGAAATGTCTAATTAATAATTTAGATAACATTTCAGGCTTAAAAAAAGTCCAGCAATAGGCAGATTTAGCTCTTGCATAATGTATATTTAATAAGCCTGGTGTCATCCAAAGATTATGGATTATTCTCTGCACCCCAATTGCTGATAAATATAGCTCGTTGTCAACTCTGTCTAGCGAATTCAGCTATTAAAGGATAAAAATATAACTTAGGATGTTGTAGTGTAATGATAAGGAGTTAACATAATACAATCCGTAGTGTATATAGCTAATTAACTAAAAGTCAATTCCTAACAAATACTATAAATAACAATTGTTTTAATTTCACTAAATAAGACACTCTATCTTTCTACTCTGGGATTTCACTAAACTCTATATTTCTAACACAAGGTACAATTTTATGGATACACAATTACTGAGTTTACTAAATTAAGCGACGTTTCGACGACGATACTCCCGTCTTGATAAAGACGTTTACACGGGACCTCGATTTATCGTCTCATATCCGAAGGACTATACATTGTCCCTTACCAGGCCCTGCGTTCTGTACCACTGACAAGGAACCATGCCAGAAAATCTGGATAAACTTTCTCGGTCTAATGCAAGGATCGAATACCCGATGATTAGCGTGACAACATCTTACCCGTCTCTACATATAGAGATTGTAGTATGTAAATAAGAGTAGAGTTTCCTGTCCAACCTCATGGATTTTCTCTGGATAACCCTTGTACATTGATGTATTTAACCATAGAATTGTATGATTAGCCTTTTATAAACAGTCTGGATACACAAATATCATATCTGATTAGCCTTTTATAAACAGTCTGGATATACAAAATTAATATCATTATCTGATTAGCATTTTTATGTAGTCTGGATGCACAAATGTCATATCTGATTAGTATTTTTATAAACAGTCTGGATATACAAATGTCATATCTGATTAGCATTTTATAAACAGTCTGGATATACAAAATTAATATCATTATCTGATTAGCATTTTTATGTAGTCTGGATGCACAAATGTCATATCTGATTAGTATTTTTATAAACAGTCTGGATATACAAATGTCATATCTGATTAGCATTTTTATAAACAGTCTGGATATACAAATATCATATCTGATTAGCCTTTTATAAACAGTCTGGATACACAAATATGATATCTGATTAGCCTTTAATAAACAGTCTGGATATACAAAATTAATATCATTATCTGATTAGCATTTTTATGTAGTCTGGATGCACAAATGTCATATCTGATTAGTATTTTTATAAACAGTCTGGATATACAAATGTCATATCTGATTAGCATTTTTATAAACAGTCTGGATATACAAATATCATATCTGATTAGCCTTTTATAAACAGTCTGGATACACAAATATGATATCTTATTAGCCTTTTATAAACAGTCTGGATATACAAAATTAATATCATTATCTGTTTAGCATTTTTATGTAGTCTGGATGCACAAATGTCATATCTGATTAGTATTTTTATAAACAGTCTGGATATACAAATGTCATATCTGATTAGCATTTTTATAAACAGTCTGGATATACAAATATCATATCTGATTAGCCTTTTTATATACAGTCTGTAAAAATATGAATTGAACCATGAAGTAGATATATGACCATTTAATTGCTTCAACAAAAGCACGAGTAAATGTAGTTAAATAGACCAACTATTTATTGTTTACTTTGAGACAGGCTAATAAAAAAGCCAAAACGTTTGGGGAATGAGGATCAATTTGAAAATTGTATTTTTCTTTATAAGCCTTATGCACGAATAATCTCATTTTTCAGCCATGTCATATTGAACAAGCCCTGTTTGGTTATATAAACTAATGTACATGTCGGAATGTCAACACGTGGGAAATAAATCAAGCACTGAAAGAAATTTTATTACGCTGGATACTTTGTTAAGCTAAACAATTTGTTTCGCTAGATATTTTGAATGAATGACTTTAGTCACTTGTCTCTTTATCATTTAAAGGGCCATTATGGTAGGTTAGATAAAGGGCTGGCAGTTCTCACTATAATAGTTGAAAAACTAGATAATCTAAAGGGAATATGCTGAAAATTTCAGTCAAATGGCTTCACTCTGAACCGAGAATTTAGCAATTAAAGTTTACGCCTAGCCTCGATCATCATTACTAAAGGGTCAAATTCAGCAAATTCCCTTTACATTTTATCTAGTTTTTAACTATTATAGTGAGAACTGCCAGCTTTTTATCTAAATCTTACATAATTTATCTTTAAGTAAAATTGAGTCGAATGAAACAATGATAAAACTTGAGTTCAGTAGAAAATAATACAGAATATAAAATGAACGAACAAAACTGCAAAATAAATGAAAGAATATTTGATATTATAAATTGACGAGTGTTTTGTGAACACTAAATAAGTTGAATAGTACGACAGAATGAATACACAGCTGGTTTAATATAAACATATTGATCTAATAACTCTATCAATAAAACATATTTTATAGACAGACAAGTCTAGTGATATATTACATATTATTGATATAGATATCTGACAAACTTTATAAAACATATATCTATAACTGATTCTGTCATTGAGTCAAATGGCGTGGTTTCGATTCTGCAGTTGTACGTGATAAGGTGTAGAGTAGCGTGTCCAACCCCCGTGGGTTTTCTCCAGATTCCCCACTGCTAAAGACCCCTACGCACAAGCGAATTATTGAAATAAAATTGAACAATATGTTAGTCCTAAAATGACCTAGTTTGTGTCAAGTGGATGTTAAACCTCATTTCTCTCTCTCATGTCTCAATCTCATGTCTGGAGGTCGCGGGTTCACTCATGTCTCATACTGGAGCCACGGTTCCTACTGTCACTGGGATACTGCCTCATTTGTTATACACTGCCTCATGTGTTATATTCTTACTCACGTGTTATATACTGACTCACATGTTTTATACTGCCTCATGTGTTATATACTTACTCACGTGTTATACACTGCCTCATGTGTTATATACTGACTCATGTGTTATATACTGACTCACATGTTTTATACTGCCTCATGTGTTATATAATGACTCACATGTTATATACTGACTCGATGTGTTATATACTGACTCATGTGTTATATAATGACTCGTGTTATATTCTGACTATTGTTGTTGTATTTTATAGAGTGAGAAGGTATGATGATAGTATTCACAATGAATTAAGTATTTTAGAAGAGAAGATTTCCCATCTTGAACAACAAGGGTAAGTGTATAGATTAGCTGATCTTCAACCTATTTGTTGATTTGTATTAAGGGTGGGCCTAGGTTGTTGAGTGGTCTCTAGACTGAGGGTTGGGTTAATTTGTATTAAGGGTGAGTCTAGGTTGTTGAGTGGTCTCTAGACTGAGGGTTGGGTTAATTTGTATTAAGGTGGGTCTAGGTTGTTGAGGGTTGGGTTAATTTGTATTAAGGGTGGGCCTAGGTTGTTGAGGGTTGGGTTAATTTGTATTAAGGTGGGTCTAGGTTGTTGAGGGTTGGGTTAATTTGTATTAAGGGTGGGCCTAGGTTGTTGAGGGTTGGGTTAATTTGTATTAAGGGTGGGCCTAGGTTGTTGAGTGGTCTCTAGACTGAGGGTTGGGTTAATTTGTATTAAGGGTGGGCCTAGGTTGTTGAGGGTTGGGTTAATTTGTATTAAGGTGGGCCTAGGTTGTTGAGGGTTGGGTTAATTTGTATTAAGGTGGGTCTAGGTTGTTGAGGGTTGGGTTAATTTGTATTAAGGGTGGGCCTAGGTTGTTGAGGGTTGGGTTAATTTGTATTAAGGTGGGTCTAGGTTGTTGAGGGTTGGGTTAATTTGTATTAAGGTGGGTCTAGGTTGTTGAGGGTTGGGTTAATTTGTATTAAGGTGGGTCTAGGTTGTTGAGGGTTGGGTTAATTTGTATTAAGGGTGGGCCTAGGTTGTTGAGGGTTGGGTTAATTTGTATTAAGGGTGGGCCTAGGTTGTTGAGTGGTCTCTAGACTGAGGGTTGGGTTAATTTGTATTAAGGGTGGGCCTAGGTTGTTGAGTGGTTTTTAGACTGATATTCCTATTAGATATTCATCTTTCACAATATTTTAGTTTGTAAATGATTCCTATATCACTTAGAGGTGGGTTGGATGGCCGAATGTTTAACACATGTGCGCTGTATTATACAGGGTCTGTTTTGATTCCCCGGTTGTACGTTAAGCCCCATTTCTCTCTCTCTTTGTGTTATTCCCGAAATGACCTAGTTTGTATCAGTGGACATTAAACCCCATTTTGTTTCTGCTTGTACCTCTATTATAACACAACAAATGGTCGGACTGTTATGTGTCCTCTGGGTGATTATTTTACACATGGAACAGGTTTGCAAAGTCCTAATAAGATTTGTGTTGAAAAATTAGTGCGTATCTAAAGCGGTGGACACACTAGCCGAATGATTCGGCCGAATCGTTCAGCCGAATCAATCAGCGTCGAAATTTGCCTAGTGTGTCCACTGTCATTCGGCCGAATGATTCGCCCAAATCAAACAGGTTTGATATATTCAGCCGAATTATATTTGCCTGGTGTGTCCGCTTCACCGAAGCATTCAGCCAAATATAGAATTCATTAGCCAATCACCACTCATATCGAGAAGTCACGTGATAGATTAAAGACATGGACGCCGCCATGTTTAATCATGTGATGTGAAAGGTGATGCAATCGACAGGTTAAATCGGGCTAAGCATTCGGCTAGTGTGTCCACCCATTCGGCCGATCGATTAGGCTAATGTGTCCACTGCTTTAGACTTCTCAACGCCATTAAATATCAGATCAGGACTTTAAACAAATTATATAGAACTTTGAAACAGTTTTAGGCTATAATGATTTTGTTTAGATAGTATTAGTAGGTATGTAATACCTGTATATATATATATACAGGTGTATGTACAGTAACACCTGTATATGTACAGGTATATGTGTACCTTGTTTACATAGAACAACAACAACTTTCCTATTTTTAGTATCAATTTAAACTGTTTGTACCTGATAACAGACAGCTTTATGGAAGACATTCACTAGGTTTATTAACTGCAACGTTTCAATAAGGTCACAAACAGATAACAATGAACTAATTAACGAAATAAGTAAACTATTATAATCAATGAGAAACCCTTAAAGGGGGGGGGGGGGGATGTAATGTACAAATCCATGCTAAAACAACAACTGGTCATAATTAAACCCTTAATTTCCATATTGCAAATAAAGATTACAAAATTTAAAAAAATAAAGATTACAAAATTTAAAAAAATAAAGATTAAATTATTTAAAAACAACCTATGAATGAGAAACCATGTTGTTGATAACATTAATCACCCTCTCCATTAGACAACAACCAATCACATTGTTATCTGTTTGTATATAACCTACTGTAACATGGTGATTGTATATATCCTTAGGCCATTAACATATATCTATATCCTTAAGTCATGAACATATATCTATATCCTTAGGCCATGAACATATATCTATATCCTTAGGTCATGAACATATATCTATATTCTTAGGTCATGAACATATATCTATATCCTTAGGCCATGAACATATATCTATATCCTTAGTTCATGAACATATATCTATATTTTTAGGCCATGAACATATATCTATATTCTTTGGCCATGAACATATATCTGTATCCTTAGGTCATGAACATATATCTATATCCTTAGGTCATGAACATATATCTATGTCCTTAAGTCATGAACATATATCTATATCCTTAGGCCATGAACATATATCTATATCCTTAGGTCATGAACATATATCTATATTCTTAGGCCATGAACATATATCTGTATCCTTAGGTCATGAACATATATCTATATTCTTAGGTCCTGAACATATATCTATTAAGTTTAAGTTTATTACATTTAATAGAGCGCTCATTACTGCAATACATGCATTCAATGGCACTGTACAATTAAAATAAATAATTTAGTATGTACAACTTGTACAGTACAAGAATATAAAATATAATATATTAATAATTAATTAATTCTTGAAGGTCCTTTGGAAAAGATACGTTTTAAGTGATTTCTTAAAACTATCCTGAGAGTTAGAGTTTTTTAAGCTGTCGGGAAGATCATTCCATAGCCGTGGACCGGCAACACTGAAAGACCTGTCCGCAAATGTTTTTCTTTTTGTGGGTGGAACGTTTAGTGACTGACTGTTGGAAAATCGTGTCGAATATCGGTTGGGATTGGGTTTAAGTAAATCTATCAAGTACTGGGGAGCAAGGTTATTTAAGCACTTATATACTAGAAGCAATACATGTAGTTTATATTCTGCACGAGCATGTATAGGCAAAAAATGAAGTTCTTTCAGAGCATCTGTTGAACTTGAATATTTTGACTGTCCCAGGATCATTTTTGCTGGGAGGTTTTGTATTCTTTGAAGCGGTAACAAGGTATTTTTTGGCAAATTGACATAAAGGCTATTGCAGTAATCCAGATGCGAAAAAACCAGAGCATTAGCAAGTTTTAAACGAGAATTTCTATCAAGGTAGTGGTTTATTTTCTTGATATTGAATAGTGATATTGCAGCGGTACAAGATTTTATGAGGTTTTCATCCATTAAGACACCGAGAATCTTAACACGGTATGATCGTGTGACAGACACATTTTCAACTTAAATCTCTGTTGTTGTACATTTTTGCAGAGTTTTGTTACTACCAAAAACTATAAATTCTGATTTATCATCATCCATTTTAAGCCGGTTGCTAAGCATCCAATGTTTAATGTCATCCATCGTGGAAGATAAACGCGAGATCGTTTCCAATTCCGATGTAATATTGCCAGCTTTAAAACTACCGTAAAGGTTATGATCATCGGCATACCCAACGAGATTAAGGTCATCCTTAACACTGTACTGCAATGTGCTAGAATAACATGTGTAAAAAACAGGACCGTTTATACTACCTTGAGGAACAGAAAAATTTATATCGACTGGTGTCGAGTTAGTTTGGTTGATGTTAACATTAAAGCTTCTACCAGAGAGATGGGAAGCTACCCATTAGTGTGCGGTTTCACAAACGCCAAAGCACTTTGAGAGGATTTCAAGCAGCAGTTCATGGTTCACACGGTATCAAACGCGGCGCTAAGATCTATGGCAACAAAAGGGGATAATAATTGATGTTCCATATTGTGTAAGATGTCGTTGTATATTTTAAGGATTAATGTTTCTGTACTATAGTTTTTACGATATGCGCTCTGGTATGATGGTAGGAGACGATGGCTGTCCATGTGCTTAGTAAAGCTGATTAGAGAAGCCTTTTCAACTAATTTGGACAAAAAGGAAAGGTTGCTAACTGGACGGTAGTTCTTTTTGATGTGGTCTAAATTTGTTTTCTTTAGAAGCGGTTTTATGATAGCTCTTTTCCAGTCTGAATGAAACATACCCAACGAGAGGGAGGTATTGATAATATCACAGATTACTTGTGCGAATATATCGCGATGTTCTTTAACCAAGCATGATGGTAACGGATCCAAATTGCACGTAGTTGGTTTTGCATTTTGAATGAGCTTTTCAACAGTTTCAGTGTCTATTTCACTGAATGAAGCAAACGAGTCTATAGATGGAGGAACGTACACTGGATATCCATCCAAAACTCGGCAGATGGTGTCAACCTTATCGTGAAAGAAGAAAGCAAAGTCATTCGCAAGCTGAGAATCAGATACACCTTCGGGTAGCGGATTAGATTTCTTGGAACCAGTAAGGTTGGCAATTGTTTCAAACAGTTGTTTAGAATTATTTCCGCAAGAGTTGATCCTGTCGCGTATGAAAGAACTTTTAGATTGATTAAGATGGTGACTGTATAAGTTACGGACTTTACGGAAGTGATCCCAGTTCTCGGACGTTTTGTGCTTGACCCAGTCACGTTCAGCGTTTCGGGTTGATATTTTAAGTTCCATTGCTTTAGCACCAAACCAAGGTACTTTCCGATGAAGTGTAATAGATTTCGTTTTGATTGGTGCATGATTGTTTAATACATCTTGTAAACATTCATTATAGCCAGAAACGAGGTCATCTATGTTATTCAAGGTCGAAAGATGTTCTGCAACTTTGGTAACATCGGACCTGAAAAGCTCTTGATTAATCGATTTAAGACGACGGAACTGAATTTTCTTACGCACAAGCATTGGACGACATGTTGAGATATTTGACAATATGAAAACATGGTCAGAAAGATAGTATTCGGTTATGATATTACTTATAGAGAAATCACTGTTTTCACGAATCAATATAAGATCCAGTGTATTTCCAGAAATATTTGTTGGGTTCGTAACAAGTTGGTTCAAAGAGAAATTGTCCAATAGTTCATTAAAGGCAACAGTATCCGCTTCTGTTGGCTTATTGACGTGTATGTTGAAATCCCCGACAAATAAACATCTATTGCAGGTCAAAAATATATTACTTATAAACTCAGCAAATTCACTGAAGAATGTTGCAGTCGAAATGGGATGCCGTTTAGAATATGGTGGTCTATAAATAGCTATTACAGTAATTCTAAAACTATTGATAATTAATTCAATTTGTGCAAATTCAAAGGACATATATTCACCCGAACTCGTAACGCTAGCTTTAATATTGTCCTTAAAAAATATTCCAATACCACCTCCCGACGGTCTTTTCTCTCAAAGTTTTTGAAGTCATAACCGAATTCTTTTAAGTCTGCTATTTCAACGGTGTTACAATTCTTCAACCACGTTTCGATGAATATGCAAAAATTAAGAGATTCAGTGACTAAATGGTGTAGAAATTGGTCATTTTTATTACGGATTGATCTAGCATTAACTAAACCAAATCTACAGTGACGGTTATTGTCATATAATGTCTCCAGTGGTAAGGAACGTAATAGATCAATGTGAATTCCTTTATTTTTGTCCCATGATGCCTTCCAACTCGCAGTCCTACGAGCACTAGATTGTTTGCCACGATTTCCCCGACAACATCTTTTTATACCAAAGTTTTGTATTTGATTTATGGCTATGTCAGATAATCTCGATGATTTAAAACCAGGTCAGAGTGAGTAAAGCTCTGAGGCAGTGTAGCAAGTTCGTTCTGCATGGTTAGTCTCTGTACACCTCAATGTTTTGAAAAGATTCAATGAAATGACTATTAGTGTAAAGAAATGATAATGATTAATAATTACCCCAAAAACATTCTTCAGTGAAATCATTGTTATAAATACATTAACTATATCTGTTCACATATCTTCAGACATAAGTACAGTATTCGATACCTCATAAAAACACTAATATACTTGAATAAATGTAGACATCATATATACGTGCAGCCACACTCGAGGCGCTGTCATTATATCTATATTCTATAGGTCATGAACATATATCTATATCCTTAGGTCATGAACATATATCTATATCCTTAGGTCATGAACATAATCTATATTACTGACATGAAATCGGGTTTTAATGCCCTACTTTCCCTTTCCATTTTCTGGTTGGTGGAGAAAAGTTGGACATTAAACTTCATATCATATGCAGGAAAATACACGTTTTGATACAGATTTTCTTGTTATACGCCCCCTATTGTCATGTGGTCAAAAATACACGTTGTGATACAGATTTTCTTGTTATATGCTCCTATTGTCATGTGGTCAAAAATAAAGTCATGGTTAATTACAAAAAAGTTTTTGTGATACCCATAACTTTATTTTTAACCATTCCTGCTACTGGTGCCACCATATCAAGTTTATTATGACATGGATTCCATCAAAGATTATCTTATTAAAATTCCTCACTCTTAATTTGAATTTGAATTTGAATTTTCATCTGGATGTATATTGTCATCGTCCCATTTTCATCTGCCTGATTGTCACAATTCTTATCCGATTTTGACGAAACTTAAAACATTTGTTTATATCCCAGAGATCTTGGTTCCTTTCGATATTGGAGTATCGGGCTATAAGATCCAGGATTATGGCCCCTGATTACATTTTTTATCTTGTTCTCTGTCCACCTCTTGTAAAATGTGGGTGTATCTTGCATGGCAACCGTTTGTATCATATTTCAAAAGACTTTATATTCACAATTAAGCTGTATAGCTTATTTTATATAAATAAAGAATTAAATTTGTGTTGTGTTGCTAATATTTAGAATTCTTCTTCTTTCAGAAAGAAATCTTTTCCAGATGTAAAGTTTTTAACATATAAAGATAGAAAAAGAATACTGGTACGTACAAGGCTAGACCTCTTTGTTTCTGGTCAAAGAAACTTAAAGAAATGTTTTAAGCGTCGACTGGGCTAATGAAGTTTGGTATACACCATGCAGTGTGCTATGAGGGAAATTATCAATGGTTCTGTTGTGTGCACACCAATGTGAACACAGGACCTCGGTTTTCCGTTCCATCCTAATGACTAAACAGTTGTCGTTATCAGGTCCCCAGTCCAGCACCACTGACAAGGGGGAACTTTCTCAGCCAACACTGAGAGTGATTCAGCGACCTTCAGAGTATCGAGCCAGTATCATATTCACTGAGAGCGATCCTGAAACCCCCAGACCTCAATCTGATTAGTGGTATATCGATTAAACTCAATCTGATTAGTGGTATATTGATTAAACTCAATCTGGTTAGTGGTATATCGATTAAACTCAATCTGATTAATGTTATATCGATTAAACTCAATCCGATTAGTGATATATTGATTAAACTCCATCTGATTAGTGGTATATCGATTAAACTCAATCTGATTAGTGGTATATCGATTAAACTCAATCTGATTAGTGGTATATCGATTAAACTCAATCTGATTAGTAGTATATCGATTAAACTCAATCTGATTAGTGATATATCGATTAAACTCTATCTGATTAGTGGTAAATCGATTTAACTCAATCTGATTAGTGGCATATCAATTAAACTCAATCTGATTAGTGGTATATCAATTAAACTCAATCTGATTAGTGGTATAACGATTAAACTCAATCTGGTTAGTAATATATTGATTAAACTCAATCTGTTTAGTGATATATCGATTAAACTCAATCTGTTTAGTGATATATCGATTAAACTCAATCCGATTAGTGGTATATCGATTAAACTCAATCCGATTAGTGATATAACGATTAAACTCAATCTGGTTAGTGATATATCGATTAAACTCAATCTGATTAGTGATATATCGATTAAACTCAATCTGATTAAATTTTTATTTGAAAGATTGTCAGCTTGTTTAACATTTAGTTGTGGGGTTGGATGGTTAAGTCTAACTCTTACATCTATGCTTTTGATCGTAAGGTCTGTCATGTGGTTTGCTTTCGGGACGCAAGCTTGTACATACGTGACAATGAGTAGAGTCGTCTGGACATTTATAAAAATAAATTTGTACCATTTGTTAGTCCCAAAATGACCTAGCATGCATTGTTGTGACCTAAAATACCATTTCTCTCTGTCTCCCTTGTTTAAAATCCTAGTTTTATTTTCATCTTACTGTTTTAAAGATGGTTTTATTTCGATTGTGTGGAGAGTATAATATGTTAACAGTACACAGTTAAGACATGACAAATTCAACAACTGGTGTGGTTTCGAATCCCAGGTTGTATATAACAAGGAGTAGGGTCGCCTGTCCAACCTCATGAGTTATCTCCGGTCATCCTGTTTTCTTCCACTGCTAAAGACCCTACGCGCAGACGAATTATTGAAATAAAATTAAACCATATGTTAGTCCTGAAATAACCTAGTTTGTGTTGTGGACGTTAAACCCTCTCTCTCTCTCTCTCTCTCTCTCTCTCTCTCTCACACAAATCCAAGATAGCAGTGATGATGTCATGTATATATTATTGCAACCTGATTAAAATACAGATCTATATTTCGTTTTATTTTTTGTTTTTTATACTTTCGATGACCTCTACTACATGAAGATCTGACCTGCTGTAGTGGAAGGTTGCATCAGGTCGAATCAGGTGTCAAACATGTACGAGCGGCTTTTGGCCTTATGACGTCAGACATTGATTAATCAATCAATGTTGACGTCACTAATGGTTTACCGATCTCACGCCAAAAACTTGCTGTAACAGACCATTTCATTAGCTAATCCCTTATGCCATCTAAAACGCGGGTTAAATAACAACTCTCCCATATCCTAGTGTAGTAAAGACAAGTAAAATGAAATTTTGAACTATAAAAACGAAACGAAATATGATTTGTGTTTTAATCTGAGTGATATTATTGTTCATTTATTGTCAGATCTCGGGTGGAGCTGGTTTTGTTGGATCACATCTTGTGGACAGATTGATGCTGGCAGGTCACGAGGTCACAGTTGCTGACAATTTCTTCACCGGAAGAAAACGTAACGTCGAACATTGGATTGGTCATGAAAACTTTGAGTTACTTCACCATGATATTGTTAATCCTCTCTTTATAGAAGGTAAATTTATTATTTACATTTACAACGTTTTCATTTAGAAAAAAAACCCACTAGTTCAGTCTTTGTTTTAATCATATCTTTAGAGATCCTTTTTAACATTAACAACATTACTCATGGGGACATGTCCATTCTGTCCAGACATTGCTTGTGGGGATGTGTTCATTCAGTTGAGACATTACTTGTGGGGGCGTGACCATTCTGTTGACACAATACTTGTGGGGATGTGTCCATTCTGTCGACACATTACTTGTGGGGTCGTGTCCATTCTGTCGGGACATTACTGGTGGGAACGTTCCATTCTGTCGAGACATTACTTGTGGGGACGTGTCCATTCTGTTGAGATATTACTTGTGGGGACGTGTCCATTCTGTGGAGTCATTACTTGTGGGGATGTGTCCATTCTGTGGAGACATTACTCGTGTCCATTCTGTCGAGATATTACTTGTGGGGACTGTCCATTCTGTTGAGACATTACTTGTGGGGACGTTTCCATTCTGTCAAGATATTACTTGTGGGGACATGTCCATTCTGTGGAGACATTACTCGTGGGGATGTGTCCATTCTGTGGAGACAATACTTGTGGGGACGTGTCCATTCTGTTGACACATTACTTGTGGGACATGTCCATTCTGTCGAGATATTTCTTGTGGGGACGTGTCCATTTTGTCGAGACATTACTCGTAGGGATGTGTCCATTCTGTCGAGAAGTGGGGACGTTTCCATTTAGTTACGAAAGAGGTTGATTTATACAGCTGGTTAATTTATCAAATATCAAATTTCTCACATCTTTATCCACGCTGATATATACTCCGATTGATTATTTAACGTTTAATTTAAAAAAAACAAAATATAATCAAAATATCAACTGTAGATAACCTTCCACTTCCACCCAACATGGATTTAATCCGATTTAATTACATAGTGGACAGCATAGATATATTTAATTTCAATTCAAAATAACTTTTTAAATACTGAACGGAATAGAATGATTTTTGTGGCCAATATTGTAGTTTGCAAGTGATTTCTATTGCGCTAAATGATGCAGCAAGTCAGTTACAATTTCATATTTTCTAAGAAAGTCAAAACATAATTATTTCTATGTCTTTTGCTCAATAGGTTGTCAACTCACTATTATATGATCATAGGTGTCAATTCTCACACTTAAAAATCATAACACCGGAAATAATAACACAATTACTTTCCAATTACCTCCCTTGTTTTCTATTCCCCACCATGGAATAGCTATCTTCAAACGTTTGAATTTGAAGTTGAAAATGATATTTTTGCCAATTTCTCAACTGGCAATAGCGAATTATAGGATTAATAGGATTATTCTTTAACAAGGTAGGACTGTTTATAGGTACCATCTATTTTAGGGCTTTATTTTAATACATTTTAAAAATATAACTTAAAAATATGAAATTATAACTTTAAAAACATGCAGATACTAAATAGTAGCCCTGTTTACACTTGGACGCGATAAGCTTGCCGTTCTTGGCATGGTACCAGATCGCAATAACTTTTGAGAAATTGACCAGATTACATTACTCTAAAATAACATGTCTCCGAAACGTGCCAGGCATGCCATATTCGGAACTCTTCATAAAAGTTAATTTCACTCCCTATACAAATTACCCGGATGGAGACGATTATTGAGGCTTATTTAGTTTGAGCAGCCATTTTGACAAAACTAATGACAGAACTGTCAAAGTTCGCTGGGAGAAAGGTCAAAGTTCATTTGGTGCATGCACAGTAATCCATACTGAGAAACGTTCTCAGATCGGATAGCATTTACACTTTGAAAATTTAACTGTGCCTGGCACTGTGCGGAGACGCCTCACTTCAATTGGCACGGTACTCCGTATGGCACACTTTTGTTTGATCCGTTTACACTACACAAAAAATTAACTGTGTTGTCCCTAGTACCGTGCCTGGTACGCTTAAAATTAACTGTGTTGTCCCTAGTACCGTGCCTGGTACGCTTAAAATTTAAAATGTAACAGGGTTATAGTATACTGTATAACCATTTGTTTTTTTGGTTTTTTTTACAGTTGATCAGATTTATCACCTGGCCTCACCTGCTTCACCACCAAACTATATGTATAATCCTATAAAAACTATTAAAACTAACACCATTGGTACTATAAATATGTTAGGTAAGTTCTTCTAGATCCACCTATAAAAACTATTAAAACAAATACAGTCGGTACTATAAATAACCCAGGTATCATTTAATCTTGTGTATGTATTGTTTAATGGTTGAGAGCGAGACATTGCGTAATATACAGTAACAACAATGGAGTCATGAGGCCCGAGTGTTTTTACAATATATTACGCAATGTCTGAAGTTCTAGACCATTAAACAACTTAAAATACAGACACTCCGAACACGCTAGTATAAATAATGTATGATTGGCAAGTTGCCTGTACGATTATTTGAAAAAATGGTGCGCCAACATCAAATGGTGATGTCACATCTGTATTTTAATCAGCACTGTCTTTAACATTCATTCAATATCAAATCTGTGTTTAAAAATTCATAAAAATCATTTAAAATCACCAAAAATCATCTAATTAGGTGAATTTTTAAACAAAAATTTGATATTAAACGAATGTGAAAGAAATTAGTGCTTGATACACAAGATTAAATGACACAGTGTTATATAACGTCCTGGACAACTACCACTCACTGTGTGTAGGGCTTAATATACTGCCTTGGAGGTATTTTCCCCAACCTATTCTTAGAATATAGTTCGTCACTTGGGAGAATCTCTTGGGAATTCCACCACGATCGCAGCATGTGTAGGACGTTATATTATGTCCTGGACAACTGCCACTCACTGTGTATAGGGCGTAATATAACGCCTTGGAGGTATTTTCCCCAACCTATTCTTAGAACATAGTACATAGTTCTTCGTCACTTAGTCAAATTAATTACACAATAGGGGGTAGTTAACGTTTTAAAAACGTCACACTTAACGGGTTAATGTTAATTCTCGTCTCTTAGACCAGCTCTATCCTTTTCCCAAATTTTTGTGGGGTTCAAAGCTTTCTATATCACAGATGGAGCAACATGTGGCAACCTCTTGCTCAAAAGCATGTATGAGGTTCACCATGGAAAACTTGAGATACACAAACTGGAAGTAGCATACACTATACATGCAACTTCTGTACTCTTCATGGGCAACTTGTATTAGCTTCCTATGATTGTAGAAATGACAGTTTGTTAGTCCCAATATGACCTATATATAATATGAAAACAGGCCCGTAACTACGGGTGGGTGGGGGGTGGTGCAGGGAGGGCAAAGCACCCCCTGTAAAAAGTTTTGCCCCTCCCCCCCTTTTAAAATTTTTTCGACCTTTAAAAAAAAAATAGATATAGATTCCGACACATTTACAGCAGCCTTGAGAACACTTCCTGCCCCCCAACCCCCCTCGTTGATCTGAGCTACTTACGACACTGTATGAAAATGAATTAAAATGATATATGTTAGTCCCAATATGACCTATATGTTAGTCCCAATATTTTCAGGTTTAGCGAAACGAGTAAGAGGTAGATTATTACTAGCTTCAACATCAGAAGTCTATGGAGGTAAGGCATCAGACTGGTCGTTGGTGGCTATTATTATTCTATTGTCAAGGTCACTCGAAGGCATGACAATAGAGACTATTGCTGTGATCACTAGGAAATGAAATGAAATGGGGTTTAACGTCCTACTGTTCTGCTCCGACTGGCCTAATGAAGACGGGCATACATCATACAGTCTGCTAGGTGGGAAATTTTGCCTGGGCAGTGGCACTTTGGCCTACTTTTATGTCGAATTCCAACTGCCAAGGGATCTTTTATGTGCATGCCAATGTATACATGGGACCTCGTTTTTTGTCCCATCCAGACAACTAGACAGCTGTCCATGTCAGGCCCTGACAAAGGGGAGAACACGTCAGAAAATCCTGATGAACTTTCTCGGACTTTAAACCCGATTTGATTTGATTTCTTATCACTAGAAGTTATTACAATATAAACGATTAAACCATTGTCCCCTTTTAGAGATTCCTTATTCACCATATTGTTGTTTAAAAGAGATGAACAATACCTAAAATGAAAAGGAGTAGTGTTGTCTGTCCAGCATCGTGACAAGGAGTAGGGTCGCCTGTCCAGCATCGTGACAAGGAGTAGGCTCGCCTGTCCAGTATCATGACAAGGATTTGGGTCATCTGTCCAGCATCGTGAAAAGGAGTAGGGTCGCCTGGCCAGCATCGTGACAAGGAGTAGGCTCGCCTGTCCAGCATCATGACAAGGAGTAGGGTCACCTGTCCAGCATCGTGACAAGGATTAGGGTCACCTGTCCAGCATCATGACAAGGAGTAGGGTCACCTGTCCAGCATCGTGACAAGGATTAGGGTCACCTGTCGAACATTGTGACAAGGAGTAGGGTCACCTGTCCAGCATCGTGACAAGGAGTAGGGTCGCCTGTCCAGCATCGTGACAAGGAGTGGGGTCACCTGTCGAACATTGTGACAAGGATTAGGGTCACCTGTCGAACATTGTGACAAGGAGTAGGGTCACCTGTCCAGCATCGTGACAAGGAGTAGGCTCGCCTGTCCAGCATCATGACAAGGAGTAGGGTCACCTGTCCAGCATCGTGACAAGGATTAGGGTCACCTGTCCAGCATCATGACAAGGAGTAGGGTCACCTGTCCAGCATCGTGACAAGGATTAGGGTCACCTGTCGAACATTGTGACAAGGAGTAGGGTCACCTGTCCAGCATCGTGACAAGGAGTAGGGTCGCCTGTCCAGCATCGTGACAAGGAGTGGGGTAACCTGTCCAGCATCGTTGGTTTTCTCCAGATCCCCTGGTTCCCTCCCACTGCTAAAGTCCCCTATGTGCAAGTGAATTATTGAAATAAATTTGAACCATGTGTTAGTCCCAAAATGACCTAGTTTGTGTAGAGTGAATGTTGACTGACTACCATGTGTGATAGATATTACATGTTAAGTAAATATATGTTTAATATTTAACTTTAAATAATATTCTTCTATGAAGCAAAGTGGCGTTCACAAACCAATTTTAACTAATTTTATCCAATTCATATTTTGATGGAACTTGGTGTAATACCTTAAATACCTAAAATGACATTCAGAGACATCAATTTTGTATTTTAGATCCGGAAGTGCATCCCCAGACAGAAGACTACTGGGGTCATGTGAACCCGATTGGTCCGAGAGCCTGTTACGATGAAGGAAAGCGAGTAGCAGAAACCATGTGTTACGCTTATCAAAAACAAGATAAAATAGAAGTACGAGTGGCCAGGATATTTAATACGTTTGGTCCCAGAATGCACATGAATGACGGACGGGTCGTCAGTAATTTTATTTTACAAGCGTTACAAAATGAATCCATCACGGTAAGTTATAGCATGGATGGTTATATTTATATTAGTTGTATCATGGTAAGTTATAGCATGGAATGGATGGTTACAGTTATAGCATGGATGGTTATAGTTATATCAGTTATAGCATGGATCGTATATACGGTTGACAGTTACGTTAGATCATACATTCTATGGTAATATCAGATCAAATGGTTATATCAGATCGTATGTTCAATGGTTATATCAGATCATATGTCAAATGGTTGTATCAGATCGTATGGTCCGTGGTTATATCAGATCGTATATACATATAGATTGTATGGTCCATGGTTTGGCCATGTCATTATTTTCCCATCAGTTACAGGAAGTTAACAGACCCTTGATAAATGATACTAGATAATCATGAATGGTACTGGACAATCATACATTACTATAAACATCATGAGATAAATGATACTGGACAATCATACATTACTATAAACATCATGAGATAAATGATACTGGATAATCAAACATTCCTATAAACAACATGATGAGATGAATTATACTAGATAATCAAACATTCCTATAAACAAATGTGATGTGAGAATTGATTTAACTCAGTAGTAACTTGATCTTTTCGCACAAGGATTATCTGAGAATGATAATATTTTTGAATAGCCTTGTTTGTAGTTGTCTGTGATATTCATTTCATAAACCTCACATTGGTTAACTGAGAATGATGCTGGTCCATGGTTAGGGTTAGGGTTAGCTGATCCATGGTTCAATTTAGGCTCAAACTTTTGAATAGCCAATTTTTGTAACTGATTAACTTCTTGGTTAATTTTGAATAATGTTTATTGAGTAATAAAGAACATTGTTGATTAAGTCACAATTTATCTTTTCAACAATGGAATTCTCATGAAAATCAAAGATTATATAAAGTGAAAGACATCATCAAGATGACAGAATTTAAGAAGAAGCCATAGCGTCACTGTCTAATCAAAATTTCCCTGTAGAATGTTAAACCCCATTTAATTTTATTTCATTAACTAGTTAGTATTCATGAACCCAACCCCTGCCACTTACGCACACCACCCCTACCACATATGCACACTACCACATATGCACACCACCACTACCCCCTACCACATACGCACACCACCACCACCCCCTACCACATACACACACCACCACCACCCCCACCCCCACCACCCCCTACCACATATGAACACCACCACCACCCATGTCACATATTATACCACCACCACCACAACCTCTGCCACATACACACCACTACCACCACCTCTACCACATACATGTTAGCACACCACCACCACCACCACCATGCACACCACCACCGTGCGTTTGAAAATTCTTCAAAATCAAATGTAATATAAGAATATCTTGTGTTATGACCAACCTAGTTAAACTCTAGGAATAATGGTAACCTTGAGGAAAGGTTTTAGGAATGATGAATATAAAAAATGTTGTTATTTCTAGGTATATGGAGATGGAAGTCAGACGAGATCATTTCAATATGTCAGTGATTTAGTGGATGGTTTAATCAAATTAATGAACAGTAATTATTCACAACCTGTTAATCTTGGCAATCCTGAGGAACACACCATCATGGATTTCGCTAGAATTATTAAAAATTTAGTGGGTAAGTGATACATGTACATCTACTCACATATGAGGGGTTGGGTGGTTGATTGGTTTTACGCGCCTGTCATTTACTCAAGTGGCCTGGTTTCAAATCCCCGCTTGTAAATCGAATCGCGTGGATTTTCTCCAAAACCTCCAGTTTCCTGTAACTACATGGCTACATGCAACATAATAGAATTGAATTATACGTCGTGTCGACTTTAAACCCTTAAGTTTTCATATAGGGGGCAGTAGTATAAATATAGTATTGTTAGTTTTATTTTATCTACCAGGGGGCAGTAGTATAGATACAGCATTCATATTTATATTTTTATCCACCAGGGGGCAGTAGTAAAGTAGAAAAAAGAACAGCAATGGAGGACGATCCACGGCGACGGAGACCCGATATTACACGAGCTAAAAAGTACCTGGATTGGGAACCAAAGGTAAGTTAAACTAGGTGATTATTAGATTGAAAATATATAGGAATGGATTCTTTTTATTTTAACTGAATACCAAAAGGTCAGTTTAAACAACCTTGAAATATCAGCTCACTATTCTGGATCTTAGACAATCCTTTTAAAATAATTGATGCAGGATGGGTTTTTTTACGCTTTTTTTTTGTTTTTATTTTTAAGAAACACACAAAATTATTATAAATTTAATATTTTTTCAACTCTTATAAGAAAAACAAAAAATAAGTAAGAATTTGAAATAACGTTCCGAATAATTCTGTGACTTCATCTACCTACATTAACACCTGGGGAAATGTTTTCAAATCTGATAGTTTTTATTTTGGTTATGGCCGCAATGGTGACCATTACGTGGTATCAATACCATACTCATTGTTAAAGCATGGATTTTGCTGGCGATTTAAATCAAAGTCTGCGCCCTTGATCTCCGCTCAGAGAATATTTTTGGTCATATCTCTCTCACAGTCATATTTCTTGGGAAAGATTAGGCATTTTGATGTTTAAAAAATTTAAAAAAAGGATTGACAGAAAAATTGTCGGTATTCTTTGGTTGCCATCTTTCCTAATATGAAATTAACATTCGATTGTACAGTGTCATTCGTGATTTTCATTAGTGTTACGTGTCAAGAAATGTTCAATAGAGTTACTTCCCTAAGCTTGATCGCGTGAAATATGAACAAGCAGAAATTATTGACATTGTATAATAGTCTGGTTCTCATCAAAAATGGGTCGCGTCACTCATTTTTATTAACCCATTAAGTGCGTAGGTCGTTATATAACGTCCTGGCCAACTGCCACTCACTGTGTGTAGGGCGTAATATAACGCCTTGGAGTTATTTTCCCCAACCTATTCTTAGAACATAGTACATAGTTCTTTGTCACTTTGTCAAATTAATTACACAATAGGAGGTAGTTAACGTTTTAAAAACGTCACGCTTAACGGGTTAAAAATAAAATAAAAATAAAATTTGATTTCAAAGATTCAAATATTTATTTTAGATCAATCTCACTCCTTAACTAACTCCGTCTTCATTAACCCAATATGAGAAAAACAGTAGTTGGATGTTAACACACATTTCATTTCATTTCATGTCTTTATCTGGTCCACTTCTCAAGAACTGTGTCAATATATAAAAGTATGAAGTCGGTTTTAAATCTTTTTGTTTTTTTTATTTTTAGGTTCAGATGTTAACGGGTATTAATCGGACGATAGAATATTTTAAAAATGAATTACGACGATCTCATCACAGCCAACGTAATTTCCACGCACCAGAATTGGGATTTTTGTAAACAGCGTGTTTTATTTCCAACCATTCCAGATAAATATAAAATATTTAGATTAGATAAATAGCTGGTTGTTCTTGCTATAATAATACAAAGATGCATTATGTAAGATTTAGATAAAGAGCTGGCCGTTCTATCTATATTAGTTTAAAGATACATTATGTAAGAATAGATAAAGATCTGGCCGTTGTCACTGTAGCACTAGCATATGTAAATCTGCCTATTGCATGTCTTTCTTTAGGCCTGAAATGTTATCTAAATTATTAATTAGACATTAATTGACTTATCCAGACCCTAATAAACTCTCGATGCCATCGCCAGCCTGCGATATTTACTGGATTTTAAAACATTTTTTGATGGAAGATTAAACGTCAAAATTGATAATCGAGAAGTTTTTTTTTTATCTTAAATACTTGAGTAATTCTGATCGAGGCTAGGTCTAAATTCAATCGCTGATATCTTGATTCACAGTGGATCATTTTGAATGAAATTTTTATCATATTCTATTTACATTATCTATTTCTGCAAGAAATGTCAGCCCTTTATCTAATCGGGGAGTTGGATGGACGAATGGTTAGCACATGCGTGCTGTATCATAAGGCCTGTCATTGAGTCAACTGTCGTGGTTTCGAATCCCCGGTTGTAAGTGACAATGATTTAATAAAGATCGGCAATAGAATGATTTAACTCTTACATGATGTATCTTTCGTTTAATTTGTTTAAAACTGTATCTATATATATAAACGCTTGATTTCCAATGTTTCGGTCTTTATTGACAGACTTTTATCAGGGAAATAAAGTTCACAATGTTTTAGCTGTATATATTGATTTAAATGACAGGGGTTTTATGGTGGACGTCTGACAAACTTCCACCACTCGTCAACTCAGCTGATCGTTAAAACATTCGACCAGCGAACCACAAATTAAAGGCTGACTAATTATCACGAAACCTAATCTAGATAGATCAGGTAAAAGTCTAGTGTTTAATAGTTCAATAAAATGTCAGATAATTTCATTCAATGAAATATTTTTCTTATTTCCTGGAATATCTTCAGTAGTTCAATTAATATGTAGGTTATTTTCTTTCGATGAAATATTTAGGATAGTTTATATTTTGTTTACTATTTCAAGGTTTTTCTTGCATATCTTCAATAGTTCAATAAAATGTTGATTATTTTCTTTATTATTTTAGGGTTTATTTGAAATATGTTGAATAGTTTAAGACACAAGTGTAGAAATTATTAAACATGAATTATATTGAATAGTTTAGACACAAGTGTAGAAATTATTAAACATGAATTATATAAGATGTAGATAACAGCTGACAGTTTTTGCTGTAATAGTTAAAAAATAGATAATAAAATAGGTAAATACTGAAAAATTTAAGTCAAATTACTTTATTCTTCGCAAAGTTATGACTGAAGAATAGCGTAGTCGCGATTTTCATTTCTACCGTTATTACAATAAAAAACAAAGTCTTGATTATCCATTTTTAAATATTAGTTTATTAACTGGCGATCGTGTTCTCTTTTATTTCGTAGATTAACCAATGAAATTGTCTGGTCCATCGCAAACCTATCTAGCCCCGAGTTCACAAAGCATTCTCTAAGATTTTACTCAAAATTGTTCACCTTATTTTAACTAAAATATAGCTCTTTATAAAACTTTTGTTGTTTTAATGTATCAAATACATCAATAAGAAACTATAAGGAAAGTTTTGTGTTTCTGTATCAAAGATATTTCTCATAATGAAAATGTTTTGTGAACTCGAGGCCAGATGTTTTTATAGTGACATCAAAAGTAGAAAAGGAATAGGGGATTAAAGCAGACCCGTTTATACAAAGACGGGCGGATGTCAATGTGTAAATACGACCTTAGTTTAAAGTATAAAAGGAATAGGGAATTAAAACAAACCCGTTCATACAAAGACGGGCATACTTCAATGTGTAAATACGACCTTAGTTTAAAGTATAAAAGAACGAAATGAAATTTATTTTGAGGTTTTTAATGCGATTGTCATGAATGTGTCGTTGTTAATGTCATTATAACTTGGGTATTGTGTAGTTGGGTTGTTTTAGTACGAGCTTCGAGTTAAAAACTGTGTTCAGTTATTACTGTAGTCCAGGTATCATTTAATCTTGTGTATTAGCACTAATTTCTTTCAAATCTTTGTTTAAAAGTTTGTAAACATCATTTAAAATCACCAAAAATCATCTAATCTGTACTTGTGTCCAGTTTAAGGCTGATTGTTCAGTTTTGATGAGTTTCCAATTTACAAGTATTTAATTTCTCGATCACTGTTAAAAAATAAACAACCCAACTGAAATTAAACACTTGTAAATTGGACACTCATTATCAAAATTAATCAGTCAGCTTTAAACGGTACACAAGAACTAATTAGATAATTTTGGGTGAGTTAGAATAATACTTATGAATTTTTAAACAAAAATTTGATATTTTACGAATGTGAAAGACGTTAGTGCTAATTACACAAGATTAAATGATACCTGGGCTACAGTAAACAGGTGTCTAGACGGACCGTTTTAAATTATGCGACAGAAGGAATCAATTATTCTTAGATGATTCTCAACAAAATTTTACAATTTGCTGCTAATAATAGTTTTAAATATAGAAATGAAACCCCTTGCTATTGCTAAAACCGGACAACTAAACATAGTCTCTATCATCCAGACCCTCTATACGTTGAAGACTGGGAGGTCCTGGGTGACCGAGACTACACTATACCCGAGTTGTTGTGTTTGTATATTTATGATTTGTTTTGTCTCTATCGTCCAGACCCTCTATCAGTTGAAGACTGGGAGGTCCTGGGTGACCGAGACTACACGATACCCGAGTTGTTGTGTTTTGTATATTTATGATTTATGTTTTGTTATTTTGTCTCGTTTGTTGTCATGTCTTCAGTTTCTGTTTAAAGGAGTTGTACCTTTTTCATCTGTTTAAAGGAGTTCTACCCCTCTAATCTGTGTCAAAAATCAAATGAAATCTGTCAGCAGTTAAAGATACATTATGGGAGATAAGATAAAGAGATGGCAGTTCTCACTATAATAGTTAAAAACTAGATAGTGTAAAGGTAATTTGCTTAAAATTTCAGTCAAATTGATCCACTATGAGCCGAGAAAGAAGCCTGTGAAATTTTTGCATAGTCTCGGTTATCATTACTAAAATCATTAACATAAACAGCATAGTCTCGATTATCCACTTTTTCTGATTTAATTATCTTTGGCCGTTAGCGGCATATAGGAATCTAATCCAGCCAACATCGAAGGCTAGCCTTGACATTGAGAGTTTATTATTGTCTGGATAAGTTAATTAATGTCTAATTGATAATTTAGATAAGATTTCAGGCCTAAAGAAAGACTTGTAATAAGCAGATTTAGCTCTTGCATAATGTATCTTTAAAACCAATGTTGGTTATTGAGCTATAAAACATGTAAACACAATTTGAACTCTATATAATGGCCGGTAACCGTCATTTTCTTCTTCAGGCTTAAGTTAGATTGTGCGGTTGCTGTTCTCTTTATATAGTCATTAGCAACCAGAATTAAAATCTCATATAACCATAGCAACCAGAATTAAAATCTCATATAACCCTAAAAACAGACACAAAATATTTATAATGAGACCAACTTGTGCTAATTCTACTGTAATGTAAATTTACTTGTATAGATGGAATAATTACATATCACATCAATCCAATTCTAAACTTTTGACCACTGCAGTGGCATGATTAACCCAAATCCACCCTTATTTTTAACTTGATATAAATATTTAATAATATGCTAAATTGTCAATTTTAATTTAAAATTGTTGCGTGGGTTCATATGGTGGGTTTGAATAGAGTTTGGTAAATGAAAGAGGGTTATCCCCCTTTAATATGTTTGTTTGTATCTATATTTATTTTCGTTGTAGATAAGTTTAATCATACTATTTATGTTTTTAAAAATTTCTTTATTATTAATTTTACGATGATTCAATGCTTTGAAATTTTTTTAAATAAAGAGATAAAATAATGTACAAAGTATTTATATATTTATTATACCAATGGGGGTGGGGGTGTGGGTCTGAGTAGATTATAAGAGAAGGGGTTAGGGTTAGGGGAGGTGGGGGGTTCGTGTAGATGATAAGAGAAAGAGAATGGGGTGGGCGTGCGGGTCCAAGTAGATGATGAGAGAAATGGCGTGGGGGTCCGAGTAGATCATAAGAGAAATGGGGTGGCCGCAGGGGGTCGGGGTGGCCGCAGGGGGTCGGGGTTGTCTTGGATAAGACTAAGAGAGAGAGAAACTAACATGGGACTAACATATGGCACGACTATATTTCAATAATTTGTTTGCAGATAGGGTCTTTAAAAGTGGGAGTAAACCACAGAACCCAGAGTAAACCCACATGGTTAGGCAGGTGATCAAACTCCTTGTCATGTACAAGCTTGGGACCACAGCACTTGATTCAATAACAGACCCTATGGTCTAAACCACATGTTTCTCTCAAAATAACGAAATTGTACGCTACAACAACTTGGGCTGCCTGCTAAACCTGGTAGGGCTTCTCCGGTTTAAAGAACCCTTTCCTGCAAGCTGATTATTAAAACATAAAATATAACCAAGTACGAACAATCCAAACCATAAGACAAAATATATGTCATATTAGTCCAGAAATGACCTAGTTTGTGTTGAGTGGACTTGACGCTGCATTGTTCATTGCCGAATTCTGTTTATGCATTACTTCCTGTCACCATTAGCAACCAATTCTAATAATTTGGGAGTTACGCTAATTTATTATTTTCTATCACCATTAGCAACCACGTCACTGGGTTCATTACTTTCCATATTTGGAGTGTTCAAATCCAACGCATTTTCACAGATTTTTGGATGAGTTACCAAAACTACTTTATTGGTGGTCTCCCCTGTTGGATGAACACGGTTGCTACAGCAACAAAAAACTATTGTTTTAAAAGTGCGCAAGAAGCGTTTGTTAAGAGCACAGTACATCAGAAAGTTGCATGAGAAGTTGAGACTGATTAGAATTGTCACAGTGATTTGAAACGTGGTGAAAATCTCAGATTCAAATTCTGTACTGTAGCCAATCAGCTGTATGATAGAACTTGGTACCATGGTTACCAAGAACAGTATAATAATGCCTAGCAACATAAGAATAACCCTCGTTTGCTCTAGATAAAGTTTTTGTTCAATCAGACTCTCTGCGTGCAGTTGCTGTTGAACTTTCCGATGTGACGTCAGGTGGATTATAAGTATTATGTTAAATACTAGCAGTATCACCATGGGAACGAATTGAAATAAGATTGCATCAAACCAACCATATATAGTAAAATATAAACTCGACGCGAACTCAGTTGGTTCGATTTCTGTCGTATTTTCAGAAATCTGGTATTGCCAAAACGTTGGAATGTTTTCCACCACACTAAATATTCCTGTTGCCATGACAAACATCATCGCATTCTTTGAATGTTTGGCTCCACAACTGTATCTTCCCTTAAAACAAATCGTGGAGCATCTTTCGATTGTAAAAATAACGGTGGTTAAAATGGAGGCCTTCAGGAAAACATCTCCAACAGGAATGTAAACATAGGCCTCATAGAATTTGGACAGAACTGATTTGTTGCTGCCGCACTCTGTACGTATCACTCCTATAGGAATTATAAATACCAGGCTGAGCATGTCATAAACCGCGAGGCCTTTCAAATAAACAAACGCGGGAGCTTTAAAAGGCCCGCGCAACAAAACTGTTAACGTTAATATATTACCCACAATTCCAAACAAACAAATCATGGGTACAATTATAAGGTAACCAATATATGCATAGTTCATCATCTTGATTTACAAATTATACAAAGACCTGTTTTCCACTTGGTTTCCATTCAAAAATCTTAATTTTTGGTTTCTGTACAAAGTTCTCTGTGTCGAGTTAGAATTGGATAACTGACTTCAGTTTCTGTACAAAGTTTTCTCCGCCGTATGGTGTAATATTGGTGACCAGTCGCATCTAAAATATATTCCAAATTCGTTTTACACAGTAGTATGATGAAAATAATGCCTAGTAAGCCTACAGTATCTTCCAAATTTGTTCGACACAGTAGTACGATGAAAATGATGGCCTAGTAGGCCTACAGTAGGCCTATCAACCGAAATATTATGAGATGGACACAATCCATGTGGTGAAGGTAGTTTGCTGGCTGGAGCCCTGGTGGTATTGGGAATCAGGAGTGTTGAGGGTTTGTATGCATGGTAGGTCTTCACAGTTCATGGATTATTGTTTGGTAAATTTTCACATTGTAAATTTGCAGAATAAATTCACATCTTCATTACCTTTTCAAATTTGCTCATAATACGAACACGTTTTTCAACTAAGCTCCGCACAAATTGACAGAAAGTAATATTTTGTCATTACCTCCCATGTCAGTCGACACTAACAAATTTAAATTACAGTCAATCTTTGTCAATGTTGGAAATTATGACGAATGATTGATATCCATTGTGTCGAGATCATGAACAGTAGGCTTACTACTGGTATTAGTAGCCTACCGTTGACTGATAGACTGATATATTATTGGTTTATAACAGGACATGATTCATCTATAGACCAACTTAATAATCAACACTAAAGCCATGTACACACCGTCCAAATAAGTGAGAGAGAGAGAGAGAAATAGGGTTATAGTCCACTCGACACAAACTAGGTCATTTCTGGACTAACATATGGTTTAATTTTATTTCAATAATTCGCTTGCGCATGGGTCTTTAGCAGTGGGAGGAAACCGGAGGACCTGGAGAAAACCCACGAGGTTGGACAGGCGACCCTACTCCTTGTCATGTACAACCGGGGATTCGAAACCACGCCAGTTGACTCAATGACAGGCTTTATGATACAGCGCGCACATGGTAACCATTCAGCCATCCACCCCCCACCCCCCCTCCAAATAAGTGCAATTGACAAAAAGTCAAAAGCGAATTGACATTTGGCAGATAACAAAATGAAATGAAATGAAATGGGGTTTAACGTCTTACTGTTCTGCTCCGACTGGGCTAATGAAGAAGGCCGTACACCATACAGTCTTCTTTTAGGGAAATTTTGCCTGGGCAGCGGCACTATGGCCTTCTCTTATAATATCGAATTCCAACTGCCAAGCCATCTTTTACGTGCATTTGTAATGTATGCACGGGACCTCAGGTTTTTTGTCCCATCCAAACGACTAGACAGCTGTCCTTATCAGGCCCTCCGTCCTACACCACTGACAAGGGGAAACCACGCTGGCAAATCGGATGAACTTTCTCAGCGAATGCAGGGATTGAACACGCGACCTCCAGGCTAGCGAGCCTGCGTCCTACCCACTTAGCCACCGTGGCTCCCCTTGGCAGATAAAGCAAAAGTATTATCTCCGAGTCTGTTCCCAGCAAGTTTTCCAGTGTGTCCCTGTCTTTATATATATCCCAGCACGTTTCCCAGTGTGTTCCCTCCTTTATATAACCCATACTGCAAGTTTTCAATGTGTCCCGGACTTCAACTACCCCACACTGCAAATTTCTCTGGTGTGTCCTCAGCTTTATGTATCTTCCAGCAAGTCTGTCAGTGTGTTCCTGTCTTAATGACCCCATCAAGTAAACAATACAGAATGATTTTATGTATCTAGAGATGTCCACAGGTAATTTAGCAATAGACCATAAAATCTACCAGTAGAATAAAATAAAAATAACTGGCTGTAAAGATATCAAAATTATCACAGACACAGACTAATAAATAACAAATGTCTAACTAATTGTGAACAAATTGTAGAAAACATTGCCTCCCCTTAAAGGTGCCACATTGGTTCAGTGAGTACGATGCCGGCTAACTACTAGAATGGCTCGATTTGACATATCCGGATATAGGCACCCTGCATGACATATCCCTCGTAGGCACCCTGCATGTAGGCTGTAGGCACCTTACATGACATATCCCTCGTAGGCACCCTGCATGTAGGCTGTAGGCACCTTGCATGACATATCCCTCGTAGGCACCCTGCATGTAGGCTGTAGGCACCCTGCATGACGTATCCCTCGTAGGCACCCTGCATGTAGGCTGTAGGCACCCTGCGTGACGTATCCAGAAAAGAAGGACGTTCAGCCCTATTTTATCATTGTTCCTTAAATAAGAATATAATGTTGCAAGATAATGAATATGGCGCTGTCCTGCAATGAATATGGCGCTGTCCTGCAATGAATATGGCGCTGTCCTGCAATGAATATAGAGAGAAATGAAGTTTAAGATCCACTCGAAGCAACGAATATAAGCCACATCGAATACAGGCCAAATCGCAGCATTTTTGAAGGTGGCTTTTAAATTCAATGGTCTAGGGCATTAGGTCCTGACTACACACAAGTTTGATAGAGAATTCTTCATTATGATAGAGCATTGGTTGGGTTGCAGCTAGCTGATCAATCTTAGCTATCCTGACATGTGTTGTACATTAGACAGGGTTTGTTTACTGTTTCTAAAACACATGATACTGCATGGTATAGTATTGATAGATGTTGTACATGAGACAGGGTATGTTTACTCTATCTAGAACATCCGATACCACCTAGTCTAGATATATAGTATTGATAGGTGTTGTACATGAGACAGGGTATGCTAACTCTATCTAGAACATCTGATACCACCTAGTCTATATATATAGTATTGATTGGTGTTGTACATGTGACAGGGTATGCTTACTGTTTCTAGAACACCTGATACCACCTAATCTAGATTATGTAGTATTGATAGATGTTGTACATGTGACAGGGTATGCTTACTGTTTCTAGAACACCTGATACCACCTAATCTAGATTATTTAGTATTGATAGATGTTGTACATGAGACAGGATATGCCTACTATATCTAGAACACCTAATGCCACTTCTCATGGCTAACAGACATCTGTTAAGAGTATAGCCTAGTTTCCCTTTAATAATATTAATTTATGACCCTCTTCAATGTCCATCTGTCAGGGTTTTATTATAGATCAGGGTTCATAAATATAATACACTATCATAATATCATATAGATAGTTTAAAACAGGGGTTGCCAGTCAATAAATATAATACAGGATTATACTAGTCAAACATTGTGATTATATAGATAGTTTAAAACAGGGGTTGTCAGTCAATATAAATATAATACAGGATCATACTAGTCAAACATTGCCATGGGTTGTCAGTCAATATAAATATAATACAGGATCATACTAGTCAAACATTGCCATGGGTTGCCAGTCAACATAAATATGACATATGAGAGAGAGAGAGAGAGAGAGAGAGAGAGAGAGGGAGAGAAAGAGAGGAGACAGGTCAACACAAACTGCGTTATCTTGGGACTAACATGGTAGGTTTCTCTCAGGGATTTCGTCAGTGTTGGATAGGCTGAGAGAAGTGAACCCACAAGATGATCAAACTCACAGTACTTGTCCATGTGATCTACAGGGCTCATGTTATACCACTTGGCCATCAACCCGACACTCCATCTCATCAATGAATGTCCATGTGATCTTCAGGGCTCATGTTATACCACTTGGCCATCAACCCTACACCCTACCTCATCAATGAATAGTATAGAGTTTTCTACACCAACAGATATAATAAAATGAAATTGTCTACATCGACCTGGCTAATCAAGTCGGGTATACACCATGCAGTGTGCTATGAGGGACTACTACTCTTGTGAATTTCAACTATAAAGCGTTCCGGACGACGATACACTGTCCCTTGCCAGACTCTCTGTCCTGCACCACTGATAAGGGGGTGTAATACTATATATACTGTATAGGTTATTTACATTCTCTAAATGATGCGGGGGTCGGATGGCCGAATGGTTAGCATGTGCGCGCTGTATCATAAAGCCTGTCATTGAGTCAACTGGCGTGGTTTCGAATCCCCGGTTGTACGTGACAAGGAGTAGGCTCGCCTGTCCTACCCCGTGGGTTTTCTCCGGGTCCTCCGGTTTCCTCCCACTGCTAAAGACCCCTACGCGCAAGCGAATTATTGAAATAAAATCAAACCATATGTTAGTCCTGAAATGACCTAGTTTGTGTCGAGTGGACATTAAACCCCATTTCTCTCTCTAAATGATGCTCTGTTTAATGTATTGAAGTCGTTTGCTGGTGGGGATCACGTGGGTAAGATGCTGGCTCGCTAGCCTGGAGGTCGGGTGTTCGATCCCTGCATTGGCCGAGAAAGTTCATCCAGATTTTCCGGCGTGGTTCCCCCTTGTCAGTGATGCAGGACGGAGGGCCTGACAAGGACAGCTGTCTAGTTGTTCAGATGGGACAAAAAAAACGAGGTTCTGTGTACACATTGGCGTGCACATAAAAGATCCCTTGACAGTTGGAATTCGATGTAAGAGTAGGCGATAGTGCCGATGTCCAGGCAAAATTTCCCTCATAGCCCACTCTATGGCGTATACCCCATTTCATTTCATTTCGTCTGCTGGTACCAGTGACAACGGGAACTGGACTAATTAGATATACCTTGTAGATTAAAATCAGGCAATGACATCGTAGTCTAGTAATCCAAATATGGCATTTCATGCTTTAGAAAGGTGGGCACCTGTCCTCCTTGGTGTCCATATAAGTGCATTGTGTTTAAATCGGGGTAGCATCTGGACAACTGACCAATCAGATAAAGGAAGTACTGGGAATCAGTCTATGACTCAAGCACATATCTTCCTTATAAGGAAATACAGGGTTAAAGTTTATTTAGATATTATTTAGTATTCTCAGAAGGACGTTCCCACAGCCTCCTCGACTGAAAGGCTGGGATATGGACATCATTTCGAGCTCGTATAGAGACATTATAGAGCGGTCTTGTCTTAGAGGGACTTTTAGCCTCCTCGGCTTAGAGGCTGGAATTTAGACAGCATGCAGGCTTCTTGGAATTACATATTCTCAGCCCCTGGTTCTAGTCTTGTTAAACTCAGACTGTAAATATAATAACTCCTAATGTAATATCATAGATGTTGTAGTTTCCTGTATTTCATATAAAAAACATAGTTATAATAATACAGTGTCGCAGTGTTAATTGATCTATTGAGTAAACAAAGTATCCAGTGTGAAAGCCCTACCAAGAAACAGATATAGTCACAGGCCGTTTTCTGGAGGTTTGTGAGTAGGATAGTGTCATAACGCTTTTCGGTGAAGCCGTGATGAAGGATAGTCACATCTATCACAGGGGAACCAGGCTATCTCATTCAATACCTGGTACTTTTAAAAATGTTTGAAATAAAATTAAAATAAGCAATACAATGAAGTTGATTTCAAACTTTCAATTTATTTCCATGATTTTTTTGGGTACATGATATATATATACAGATGAATATAAATAAGAAAGATACAAAAATAATACAATCAAAGTTTCTTGTAACCTTGTGTATCACCTTGACTACCAGACGAATAGTCACCTTGGCTACCAGTATAGTAGATGAATGATCACCATGACTACCCCACCTTGACTACCAGTAGACTAGATAGATTAATACCTCGGCTACCAGTAGAATAGATAGATGATCACCTTAACTATCAGTAGAATAGATTGATGATCACCTTGACTACCAGTAGAATAGATTGATGCTCACCTTGACTACCAGTAGAGCATAAACTTCTCCTCTCAAATCTGCCAATTGTGACTAGCAGGAATACATTTAAACATAAAACATATACATACAGTTTTATTTATCAATTAATTATAAGATAATATGAAAACATTCTTGGCCTAACAGAGAAAAACAAAATATGCTAAAGAATTCATGTAAATATTTCAACAGTTTTACGTCTCCTATAGGAAATGTTTAAACATACATTATGTCAGAATTAGATAAACAGTTGGTCGTTCTTGCTGTAATATTTCAAAAATACATAATACAAAATGAATATATTGAAAATTTAGTTCAAATTAATTTATTTTGGGCCAATTTAGTTTTGACGAGATGTGTGCATTGATTGTTTATTATCGTAACAACGCTACTTGTTATTCGTTTCTCCATTTTAAAATTAAATCATTAAATGGCCAAAACATTCTAATCTACTTAAAATCAGAGGGTTGATTATTATAGGCATTTCATGTGAAGAAATGTTTAAATAATAGTTTATTAACATTTGAAACCAAAATTAAGACCTACAATAGGCCAATTTAGCTCTGACATAATACATCTTTAATTATACTACTTCAATGATATCTGATTATAATAAAACAAGACACTCACATCATTGTTTTTATTACTTTCAATATTTATGAAACACTTGTTTAATATCATTATTTACCGACCACCAAATAAAACAAAATACATACAATTACTTATATAGAAAAATAAATTAAATTTAGACTCCTAAAATCAGACCAATCATTTCTTCCTGTTTTTATATCTGATTCAATAAATTAAACATTGGTGGATATTTTATCCAAATTAAAATCATAAACTTTCAATGTCATTTTGGTTGCAAATTTTTCTTTTTTGTAACACGTTTAGTCAAACTGAAATATTTAACATTTTTATCTTAGGACATTAAGACCCAACCCCGTCCCCCTCAGTCAATAAATAGGTGGATTTGTGATTGTTATTTTTGTTTTTTTAAAAAAAACCTAATCCAACATCATTTGATTTAAACATTGATGTTTCTTGCCAAAATACGAAAATAATGATGTCATATGACAGTGTAAGCCACAATCAGATATAATCAGTGACGTCTGCTTCGAGTACAGATCTTTCTGTTTCAATCAAACTTAAATCCGAAGCATAAAAAAGAATAATTGATTTTAATTTTAATAGTTTTGATGATTTTAATATACAATATTTACAAATATTTACACTTCAAGCACCTGGTTAATATTTTATTTCATACAAAACAATATCTTTCACTCACTGACAAAACACAAGTAGGTCTACAGCACTGCTATATGGACGAGGAAACGAGAATCGTGAAGGAATTGTGTTGTCATATCAAGTATGGCAGTGCTATATGGACGAGGAAACCAGAATCTTGGAAGAATTGTGTTCAAAATTTGAAATCTGTCAATTAAATGCAAAACGCAAGTACGACAGTGCAATATGGACTAGGAATCAAGCATCTTGGAGGAATTGTGTTGTCATATCAAAACACGAGTACGGCAGTGTTATATGGACACGGGGGAATTGTTGTTGTCATGTCAAAATTTGAAATCTATCAATCCATGCGTTATTGTCCAAGGAACATGTACGTTAAGTTTCATGTTAAACTACCCGAATAAAAGTTTCTTTCAATTAATCATTAAATCGTAAGAGAAAGTTAAGCAGTAAATCGGATCATAATCTACTAAAGATCGCAGGCTAGCGATGCCATCTAGAGTTGATTATGGTCTGGATAAGTTAATTAATGTCTCAGTAATAATTTAGATAACATTTCAGGTCCAAAGAAAGACCTGCAATAAGCAGATAGAACTCTTGCATAATGTATGTTTAAGATTTCTTCACCAAATTTCCCCCAAAATGTGTTATTCTGGCAACAATTTTTTTTTTTTTAAATGTTAGTTTTCTCCTGTATATTACTTGTTCTATTTTCAATTCAATAGCTTTAACATTTAAAAGAACATTATTTGCATAGCCTCACCTCTTCAGGTTTGTTGTCGATGATACTTGAAAAGGCATCAACTAAAATATTTTAAGAATATAGCTGTTTCATCAACTTAAGCTTAAAATTTGTGCTATAATTTCAGCCTATGATTGCAGTTTATGATTTCAGTCCATATCTATGAATGGGGGGTTGGATGGCCGAATGGTTAGCATGTGCACGCTGTATCATAAGGTCTGTCAGTGAGTCAAATGGCGGGGTTTCGAATCCACGGTTGTACGTGACAAGGAGTAGGGTCGCCTGTCCAACCGCGTGGGTTTTCTCCAGGTCCTCCAGTTTCCTCCCACTGCTAAAGACCCCTACACGCTCGTGAATTATTGAAATAAAATTGAACCCTGTTTTATTCCCGAAATGACCTAGTTTGTATCAGTGGACCTCCCTCTCATCTATGAATAGTAAGAATTCTTAAAATATTTTAGTTAACTTGAATATGTGAAATGAAATGGGGTTTAATATCCTTGGCATATTTCAGCCTTTACGGTTTAACGTGTCTGAAATTCACACTGTTAAGAGAAGGAAATCTATCATTTCATACAATAATAGTTGGGAAAAATAAGTTGGGAGACCTAAAATACCCTTTCTTTCGAATCGAGACTGAATTTAAAATCAAATGAAATGGGGGTTTAACGTCGAACTGTTCTACTCTGACTGGCTAATGAACAATTGGAAACACCATACAGGGAAATTTTGCCCAGATATTGGCGCTACTTCCCACTCTTATATCAAATTTTAACTGCCGAGGGATCTTTTACGTGTACGCCAATTTGTACATGAGACCATCTGAACGTTTATATGTTGTCCGTTGCCAGGCCTACATTGTTGTTGGTATCCATGACATTCCCATAATGCCTTATAATAAAACCTGTCGATATTGAGCCATGAAATTGGTTCATTTTTTTAACTCTACATTATATATTTTAATCTTTTGAATTTGAAAATGTCCGAATCAAGTACACCATTACAAGTAAGAAGGCTGACTGCATACACGAGTCAAATTTTAAATATGAATAATGATTGTTGGCGACAAATATAAACTTTTAATTTCAATAATTCACTTGTGTGTACATGTAGGTGTCTTTAACAAACGCCGCTACATTTTATCACGAAAAGGGAAGTTTGATACAATGAATTCAGGGGGAACCCCAGGTTTAACAGTGAAGATTCATAATAATACCCTCGCCCCTCCCTGGATGTCAATCACACATTCATACAAACAGACACATGTATACATATATACAGGACAGGAACCTAAAGTGACATATTTCGTCCTTCAATACTAATTGTAACAGCTTTCTGATTTTTTCCATATTTCTTCCGATCAGCAAATGAACGTTTATGTTTTTCATATTTAGAAATCTTCTTCTTTGTTGTCTGAAAAAAACAGGTATTTTATTTATCTTGGGCAGTCCCCTTCTACGGGACAGTCTACTTCGAAGGGGTAGTCCCCTGTTTATAGGTATCTAAGACAGACGGAGAAACCCCACTCGGTAAGAGAGGAGACTCTACTCCTAGTCACATACAAATAAAATTAAATGGGGTTTGGCGTCCTACTGTTCTGCTCCTATACTGGGCTAATGAAGACGGGCATACGCCATGCAGTGTGCTATGAGGGAAATTTTGACCGGACAGTGGCACTACAGCCTACTCTTATATCGAATTCCAACTGCCAAGGGATCATTTACGTACACGCCAATGTACCAATCGACAACCCTTGAATAATGGAAACAAGCAGCGTAACGCCTGTCAGGCAGCCAACCCTAGTTGAACTCAATATCATCCAAAGTCTTTGACATTGTAAACACGACTTACTGGTCAATTTAAATCAACATTGATGTTGTAATCTTACCGGGAAAAGATGGCATTCTTATATCCAATATTTAATACAAAATGAACATTTTAAAATTGGCTTGTGGGTTTTTGGAAATACAACTTTTGTTTTGTCTTCGCTGCAAAGTCCACCTGCAGTTCCGTGAACTGCATGTCAAGAACTCACCGCAACAGACCGTTTCATTGGCTAATCCCTGACATCAACCAGAACGCGGGTTATATAACAACTCTTCCCGATCCTAGTCTAGTAAAGACAAGTAAAATGAAATTTTGAACTATAAAAAACGAAACGAAATAGGATCTGTGTTTAATCAGACTGGCTGAAACTATGCTGGAAAATCCTAAAGAACTTTCCGGGTCAACATTGGGGGCGAACCCAAGACCTCGAGGCTATCGAACCAACTGCGGCTCACAACAGGAAAGACAGAAATAATAATTTACCTTTGGTGGAACATATTCCATATTAGTGGTTGGTCTATTTACGTAATCTCTGTTTGATGGGGCTGGAACACGAGCACGCATAATCCATCCTGGATCCCCAGGTCGCACAGCTCTGTAAAAACAAAAAACTTATCTACATTAAATAAGATCAAAGATGTCTGTGTGTAGGCCTATGTGTTTAGGCCTATGTGTGTAGGCCTATGTGTTTAGGCCTGTGTGTAGGCCTATGCGTGTCTCCCATCACACTTCGGCACCACGATTCACCCATAAATATGTGGTATCAAATTAACCAGCATGATGACCCCGTGAATGTTTTAGGGGGGTTGGATGACCGAATGGTTAGCACATGCATGCTGTATCATCATAAGGTCTGTCATTGAGTCAACTGGTGTGGTTTCGATTTCCTGGCTGTACGTAACAAGGAGTAGGGACGCCTGTCCAACCTCGTTGGTTTATTGGGGTCCTCTGGTTTCCCCCCACAGCTAAAGACCCCTTCACCCTACACGCAAGCGAATTATTGAAATAAAATTGAACCATATGGTAGTCCTGAAATGTATTTGTGTTTGTGGTGAGTGGACGTTAAACCCCAGAGGAGTGTGGATCCCAGACGAATTTGGGCCCCAAGCAAATTTGTACCCCGGACGAAGCCAAGTATCCTGCTAGTATAATAGAGATGAACATCTTGGGCGACACCCTATTCCGGCCTTAAAGGTACAGTCCCAATATTCTCCATGCGAAATGAAATGAAATGGGGTTTAAAGGTACAGTCCCAATATTCTCCATGCGAAATGAAATGAAATGGGGTTTAACAGTGTGCTTTGAGGGAAATTATTCCCTGATTCTTCAATCAAATTCCAACTGTCCAGGGTTCGTTTAAATGTATGTCAATCCGTATACAGGATCTGTGTTTTTCGTACCATCGAACGACGATAAATTATCCCTAACCCTAACCCTTGTTTTTCATTCCATCCAAACAACTATACATTATCCCTAACCCTAACCCTTGTTTTTCATTCCATCCAAACAACTATACATTATCCCTTGCCAGGCTCTCTGTTCTGTACCACTGACAAGGATGAGAGAGATAGAGAAATGGGGTTTAATGTCCACTCGGTCATTCCGGGACTAACATATGGTTTAATTTTATTTACATAATTCGCTTGCGCATAGGGGTCTTTAGCAGTGGGAGGAAACCGGAGGACCCGGAGAAAACCTACGAGATTTGACAGGCGACCCTACTCCTTGTCACATACAACCGGGGATTCGAAACCACACCAGTCGACTCAATGACAGACTTTATGATACAGCGCGCGCACGCTAACCATTCAGCCATCCAACCCCCCCTGACAAAGATGAATCCTGGTTAGCGAGTCAATGTCTCGTACTACATCAGAAGACAACCAGCTGATTACAGATATCAAGAATCTTACGTGTCATTTCCTGCCATTGCTTTCTCCATATCTTTTCTCACCTCTTCACCTTCAAC